GGGGGGGGGGGGAAGGGCAGAGGCCTGTCGCCCCTGTCACGGACATAGATTGATCTGGTCAAATCCGTGACACACGTCACTGTCAGCAGGGTAATAGCAGCTATGGAAATATGCAGCAAGATCGCAGGGCTGAACTCCGCATGCGGCACCCCCACGGTAAAGTAGTGATCAGCTTTTCAAGTTCAGACAATGAAACGGGTGCAAGTTACGTGACGTGTAGCAGATGCAGGAAACACACCTTCACCTTGAATATTCTCCTCATGGTATAACCAGGCAAAAATAGCTCTGTTCTCCAATTGCAGGAAGCTAGGGAAATACACACTCAGCCTGGCTCTCATAACTAAACTCTTCCACTACCCCACCTCTGGAACGTCCTACTGCACGTGGCAGTGGGAAACAGTCCTTCCCAATGACATCTTGTTCAGCTTGATGGAAGTTTTTAGTTGAAATCTCAGCTGCTCTCTGTAGCAATAACTTTACTGCCTTTCTATCACCACTCACGGTGAAATTAGCAATATGACAGAGAAAGGCTCTCAAGGAATTTGGATAGGTCAGCAGAAGTGGAAACTCAGGACGCATACCTCAGGACAAGCATTCTGCAAGGATAAACTGAGATTTGCAGCATTATCCTTTGCTTCTACTAGTACCTGGACTCCTTTTTCTCTGCTACTTCCAGCCTTGAAGTCACTTACGTTTTTAAATATGCATACAGAGTAAAAGCAAAAACAAAAGTGTACGTGTTTCCATAGCCACAAAAGCTGAACTGCAAGAAGTTATAAAACATAAAATGACAGAATTTTAAAAGTTCTTCCAGTGAACAACTGATTTTATCAGGAAATTTCACTTCTGGCAGAAAAATATTTAGTATGTTCTCAACTGATGTGTACAACACAAACAAATCCCATGTGCTGGAACTCCGAACACCAAGCTACCACCTGCTGACAGGTTAAATGCCTCCCAGCTGGAACGTACACCAGCCCACTGGACATACAGAAATATTTCTCTTAACATCCTTAAGCAGCATAAGTTTTGTATAAATGCTTATGAAGATGCTACTAGCCACAAAGCTTGCCCTTGGAAAACACAACACCAGTTTTTGGATCTTATTTTCAGAATGCTCAGAAAAAATAAAAAAGAAAAAAAAAGAGCAGACGAGAGGAGGAAGTGTTTTCTACTGCAGGAAGAAAGCATATTCTTCTGCTATTAACAGATAGGAAGAGTTCCTAACGGCTTAGCAGGCGCACATATAACGCGGCTACTCACATAACATTTCATTTTGAATACCAGTATGTGTTGGCATCCATGAAAATTGCTCAGCACTTTTCATACTTTATAATTTATACTGCTAATATGTAAAATCTCTGCAGAGCCATCCCAGGTTACACAGTTTTAGAGTGACTACAGATACCAAAAAATGATTTCCCAAAAGATTTATAAAACCATTACTTAAATTTAGGGTTTAGTTCAATAAAGAATTATGCTGTGTTAAGGTTTCTATGGAATTCAGTCATAAAAAGTCCAGACTGTACTAAAAACTAATTAATTCTGTGGTTTTGGTACTCATTGAAGCCTCCTTTTCCCTGTGCACAAATAGCTAATGATATTCCCTGAAGAGTGTGCATGCCAGAAAGTTGAACAGGGATATTCTGAGTTCAAGACTACTGCACAGCGGATCTACTGAAAAAGGGAACTTTATTAAATAGTTCAAAAGATAATAGAGCTGCCTGCAATCAACTTTAAACTTGCACTCACGCCAATTAGAGGGTTTATGAACTATTTATTACTCTGGTTAAAACAAATATTTTCCACATCAATACATGCCACATATAGGACCCACACAGCATCTAGAAATGAAATATGCTCAAAAAAGACAAAAAAAAAAAAAAGCCAGATTTGCAGTACACACATCAATCTTTTGTTGTGCACCTTCCTGCACAAATATTTAAGGTGTCAATAATGCTGTTAGAAGGATCTTTATGAGACTTCACAGTGGACTGCACAAGATTCTTGAAAGAGCTCTTTAAAAGAAAGAAAAATGCTGTAAAACATTTACTTGAAGAAAAACAAACAAACAAAGCAACAACAACAAAAAAAACAACACACGCACCTGATCCAAAGGCAGCAAAGGCACCAAAACAGCAGGTATTTTTCCAGTACTTACATTCCATTTCTGTGACCAAAAAAATTCCTTCACTTACTGCAGGAATGTTTCTAACTTGTGCATGCAGGAAGAGATCTTCCTCTGAACTGATACTGACCCATACATTTGCTCCATGTTGTCCACAGTCTATGTAGCCCATAAATAATCTTGCTTGAATTGCAGCCTGACTCCCACAGCCATGACAAGAACCTCTGAATGATGTGCAACTTGTCTGCTGAACTGAACCTTTGTTTTCATAGAAATAGGACTACTCATAATTAATTAATTAATTAATTAAAAAAAAAAAAATTCAAACTACCACTGATCTTCTTTACCCTGTAGGGATACAAGGAAATAAAGTTAATATTTAACAACAAGAATGCCAGCTGCCAGGAACATGAACAAAACAGTAAGTGTCCAGTACTCGTGCAAGCAATCATACTCTTAAGGAATACTTACAGGCAATTTCTGCATGATGTAGCTTGAAATCACAGGCAAGAAATACAAGAGAGGTTGGTTTCCTTTCTCAGAGGGCTCATGAGGTACAGATGGAAAAAAAAAAAATGGAACTACTAATAACCCATTTTTATGAATCCAGCACTTACCGTCTATTACATGAGCAAACACTGTTAAATGTAACTTTACTCTCCATGTGTATGTATTTGAAATGAACTGGTTTACAACTCAAAAGAAAAGAAAAAAAAGAAATAAGGAGAAGAGCTCATCATTTATTCATTTGTTTAGCCAACAAATCTTCGCAGGCATTATATTTGCAGTAGCAGTAAAACTATTGCAATAAATCTTCAACTCACAAAGCTCAATGTAACCATCCACCAATAAGCCTGTATAAGCCCGGCCTAAGCATAACTTCACACGCCCTATATTCTTACTGTTAAGTTTAAAATTTAAGTTTTAACAATGATGAGAATCCATTTCATTAGATATAGATTAGGAATATGCAAAGAATTCAAACAGGGTAGCTAATACATGTCCAGGTAAAATTTTAAACATTTGGTTTGAAGCGATTGCTATCTTGACCCTTCAAGTTGTGTATCCAGATCTTTCCACATCAGATTTTCAAGACATTTGCCAGTGCTGGCATGAAAAAAGGACTGCTGCAACTTGCAGGGTGGGAGAGGAGCAGGCTCTTTGACCTCACGGTCTCCCATCCATCAGCAAAACCACTGGCTGCAATAGTTGGAAAGGCACACGAGAGTACTGCTCTCATTCTCCAAACTCCCAACCCAAAAGGAAATTGCAATGATGATGTAATTGTTTTTTTTGTTTTTTAATTATGTTGACATCAAACATTTATAGTGACACATACAAGAATATATTATATATTTATATAAATATATATGATATTTATATAAAATATATAAATAAATATATATACAAAGTATGGCATTACTTTCCAGAGAGCTGGTACACTTCACAGGCCACCTTTCCTTACCAGGTTTCACTGTCATACAGTTTGGTTTTTTTCCCCCCATAAATTTCAATAAACCATCGGCCAAAACAAAACAAAAGCAAAACTGCCAAAGACTTTTTTTTTTTTTTCTTTTTCTTTTTTTTTAACATAAAAGCATCACCTATTAGAATAAAACCAAAACACCTATCTTCCAATTAAAAGGACATATAATGTCATGGCAGGTGGTTTGGATATTTAAACTGTGCTTCTCACTCTATGCTTAAATACAGGCAAATAATTTCTATCGAAGTCAAAGGAAAAAAACTATTATGTTTAGTATAAACAGAGCACACAGGTCTCAACAGCCAAGTACATAGTCCCCTCATCTGCACTGTTTTAAACATAAAACATAAGTTCCTCACGGTGAATGTGTGCTTTGTTAGAGTATATTAAGACAACACAGAGTAGACACAGTTTTTAAAAGTAAGTCAGCAAACAGAAAGGCTGGTACTGTAATGGCATCTTTTTGTCCATAAACTTTTTATACTAACATGAGGAGACCTGAAGGAAACAGACAGAACATAAGCCTTGTTGCAAAAACTGAAGCTAAGGACGGATGAAAAATGAATGTTTTATAGAGAGCTTCAGTGCAACTGTTAATTTTTCCAGTGGCATAATTCAGTGATGGGTACATCAGAAATACCAATAAAATAATAAACAAAATTTAGAAGATTTTCATGGTATTTGTACCTACTTCAGATAATGAAACAATTCCTTCTGGAAACACTTCCTTTACTCCACAAGTCCATTTCTACTATCTAGAATAGGTCAGTGTGCATGCACATGGAACTATACACATTTGTAAATCATCCCGTGTTCTTACCTTCTCTTTGCATACAGTATACACTAGAATTATTGTCTAGTTTGGTATTTACGTTTTATATTTAAATAAGTTTATTTTAAAACAATTATATTAAATACAGACTAACAGAATATTCATAATACACTTTACAGAAAAAAATAGCCATGTCTTTATTTTAGAAATATGTCTCTTAAAAAGTTCTTTGACATTTTTTATAAAACATTTTACCCGTGAAGATAAGTCAGACTTATAAAAAAAAAAAATCCCTACCCTTTAAATCCTCGGGTGTTACTTTCCATTGTCAGAGTTGCTTTATTAATTTTTACAAGTTTTCAATCTACGAATTCTTTCAAATTTAAACCAGAATCTCTCAGGATCAAATTGGCCACAAGCCATTTTTTAAAAGGTCAGTGGAAATTCCCTGAATCCATTCTGAAGTGCCTTGTGTTTTTCTTTCTCTCTTGGTGTCAATAGTGCAGGTTTTCATAGGAATTCAGAGCTCCCTACACATTCTATAGAAAGCTCAACACGTATCAGTGGCCAGGTACAGCTGCAGAACCCACAGAGGTCTGGATCCCCCCAGCCACCACAGGAGACAGACAGGAAGCAGAGACCATAACGCCTTGCAAAATGCAGTACTTCCCTCCAAGGTCTCTGCTAGGTCCAGCTGTCACACACAGATGCCAGAAGAGCTTGGCATTCAGCCCTCACTTGCTTTCCAAGTTATAGCAGTGGACATCTCCTTTTCCCTTGCCATCATATCCAGGAAGCGGTTGTCCATATTTATCCACACACCAGCAATAACCTCTTTTTCGGCCTTTGGATGGACGACACTGAAATAGAATGTGGCACCTAATTAACATTTTTTGTTTTATTCTGCTCTTGTTGTTATGACAAGCAGGAATCTTGTTTGATAGTTGCATTGCTATATTCTAGCCATATATAGAATCAAATAGAAGATTTGCTAGAAGACATTTCTAGAATCAAATTGAAGATTAACACCACTACAAAGTATAACAGGACAATATGTAATGTAATACAAAATGGTTTATGAGTGGAGTACCCAATTATGAATAATAAAACTGCTCCAAGAATTACCAGAAAACAGCAGAATGAACTACTCCCTATTATATTAAGCAACATAGTTGTTGCCTGCTGAATTTCAGAACTACTTACAACCATGCAGGTGGCTGACTTGGAACCCATCTTTGGAAAAGAAAGTCAAGAAGTTTGTTCTACACTAAAAGCACAAGTCTGGCAAAGACTACTCTTGCAGCAACAAATACCCTTGGTTTGCATCTGTTTTCTGAAGGAATATCAATACCGTCATTTATATTATAGTAACAGATACGCAATCCTTCTGAAACTGAGCTCTTATTTCAACAACTGCTAAGTGATCTAGAACTTGAATTAGTCTACAACCTACATCACTGTCAGAAATCAGTTGCGTAGTAGCATTTGTTAACAAACTGGCCAACCTGAAACTAGCATAAATAAACACAATGCTGAACTTCTTCAGAAAAAGTAATTTTATAAAAGCAGATAAAGTCCACCCCATACTAACACTCTTCTCAAGAAATCAAGAATAGTAAGAGGTAGACTAAAGAAGATGACATTACAGATCACGCTTGGCGAGTAACCCTGTATACAGCCTAAAGGAAACTCTTCAAGGTCTTCATCCTTTCAAAAAGCATCTGTCTACTGGGTACAGAGTCTCCAACTGTCAACCTCTTTGCTAAGACAGAGCCTTCACCTACATCCAATCCAGTTGCTTAGATTTGATGATAGAGGATTCACTGCAAACGCTAACAGAGAAGGACATTTAGTCAGGACAGAAGGAATTCTGACTCCAGCAGAAATGGTAACAAACACACTTGTTTTTTCGAAGGCTGGGGTTTAATCTGCTGTACCATTGTGTGAAAATGAACGGACCAGACAGAATACTGTAAAGGCTATCATACAAGCAAAGTAAATGCTACACCTGAGATCAGAACAATTCAAGTATTTCAGAAGTCTATTCCGGGTATCAACTGTAGATTTATTATAGTAGAAAGTTTACCTGGCCTGTAACTCTTCTGCACCGTTTGCTCCTCAGAGTTTCATACACACCCTGCTCTCCCATGTCAGTGATCCACAAAGCTACTGTGTTTCCCATGCATGGGCACATAAGGAAACTGCAAGTATATGTTGTGCATCATATGCTGCCCACAGCATCTGACACTTTAAAGCCTAGTTTAGGACTTCAGGTGAAAGAGTGGTATGTCAGAAAGTACGAACATGGGCTACTCCTGGGGACGGCCTGTACCAGCAGATAGGCCCTTGAGCCAAGTAGTTTCTGGCAGCAAAGATTAGCACAGACAGCCCTTGCTATGAAGTTGCAAGACAGATGAGAAAGATCACACATTAGACCAAACCTCTGAACATTCCTCCTTGGCAGGAACCCAAGTTTTCACCTGGGTTTACTTTGAAGTAAATTAAATAACATTAATCATCACTGTAACTGAAAGTTATTCTTACATATATACCTTAAGCTACATTTTTTTGTTTTGTTTTTAAAGGAGAGTGAAAAAGTTCAAGCCTGTTGAGAAAACAGCTACATGAATAATTTGCTGAACTGCATGATTAGCTTTTACTTGATTTTAGTCACCTTTTTTGTTGGCTTCCTGCATCAAGTCTTTAAATATGAAATCAAAGGAAGTTTTAGAATCATACACCGTCTCAAAAGCAGACCATTTGTCCATGTTCTCTAAGATTTCAGTGAATGGCCATTCAAAGGTCACTGATGTCAATAGGATTTTTTTTTCTTTACTTTTAGTGGTAACTGGACTTGGCTATACCTTAACTGATATTAACATTCAGCACACTAAATCCTTTCTGCTTGGTATCAAGTAATCTGTAAACAACTGTTTTTGCATCATTTACATTTTACAAATAAGGAAACCGAGGCAGCAATTCTGTAGTTGTTTTTATCAAGAGTGCAGGCACAGATGGAGCCCAATTTAGAGTGCTAATTTCTTGCTGTTGATCTGTTTCTCTGGCAATTAAACTAAACTTCCACTAATAACAGCAATGCAGCTGCCCCCTTTTAGAAGTATTATGTGAAGTATATTACACAACTCTCAACTGATTCATAGCCTTATGTCACTGTCAAAACAAATGATAAGTTGAAGTTATCTCACATTGTTGGGGGTCCGGATTGCTTTTTACAGCTGCATACTCAATTTGTAGAATTAACAACAGCAACTTGAAAATGAAAACCATACATTGAGTGAGATTCATAGTTGAAATAACACTGTGAGGAAAAAATAAGGACCTTCAGCAGTCCCATGACTTTATACTATTTGCTCAACGATACTGTCAAAAGAAAAGCATTTCAGATTCCAATGCAATGTTTACCAAGAAAGATTGCTAGCATTCCCCACTGAAATGGTACACAATTTGTATGAAGTAAGCATACATTTTGTACTCCACATACATTTCTCAGCTCTGCCTTCTGCATGACTTCGGAAGTCTAAAAAAGCTGGAAAACTGCCCAAGCAGTGGAGTCAATAGTTACTTCCAATAGCAGCACCAGCTGCCAGCTTCATGCCACCTGCCTCCCTGCTCTCCACAAAGACATACCACAGAAGCAGTAGTGGGGCACACCAGAACATATGGTATCCCAGTGGAATCCTGATCAGCCCAGAGGCCTCCGTAGAGATACAACTGTGGTCTCCTGAAACAGCACAGACAGCCTTGACTTACACCTCAGGCTGTGCTGGCTCCTGGCAAGACCAGCTCTGCTTTCAGTGGAACAATTCCAGCTCACATTTAGGTGAATATCTCTATCTGGTACACAAATATGGGACAATAATTCTAGTATCAAAGCAGAAACGTACCCATGTTAACCTAATCTATGTAAACACAGCTAGATACCATACTTGAATAGTGCAGGCTTACATGTGTGATTTATTAAGATATTAAATATGCTTGATTTTTTTTAAAAAAGTTTATATATAAAATAAGGTCTAGAATAATTTTTGTTACATGACAGATTAAATAAGACCCTTGAAATTGTTGATAATTACTTCCTATGGTTATTCCTGAAAAGTCCGTCCCTACACATCAACAAACGTCAAGAAAAGTAATTGCTTTCAACTTGACTGCAAGAGCAAGTGACCAGGAAAGAAAAATTACCAACATAAATTATGATAATAAAATTTCATTCAGGAGGCATTTTTTAACAGATTTCTACCACCTCATTACACACACACACACACACATACGAATACCCTAAGCAGTAGTTTCATCAGTCATTTCTAGAATTAAAAATGCTCAATCCACACTCCTTTTGTGATGGATTTACTGTCTATTTCCTAACAAACTATTCTAAATTTTGTTGTTGGAACAAAATATAAAGTGAATTATGGACTGAATGCTGCTAATAGTAGCAATGTAAAAAAATTAACAAAATAGTCTAGTGTTCGCTTAATCAGGTTAGATATCTGCTTGTGGTTCCCAAAGACATCATGCCTAAGTTTTGAGGCTCCATAAAGAAAAAACAAATAAAACTGCTGTACTGTTTTGGAGAGAGTGAATTCAGTGTGGCCAGAACTCACTTCTTACTCCATCTGATGTTTCTTTCCTAGGAGTTAACTTATCAAGGGTACCTAAAATACGTTATTATTCTTTTACATTTTGTTCATGAGAGAAGCAGTCTGCTCCTGTCAGCACTAGTTGTGAAGGCCTATGCCACTGGTTGATTGCAATTCTTTTAGAGTAGGAACATTCAAACTGTGCTATACATATTTACTCACACTGGCCCCATTTGCAGACATTTCTTACAAGATTCTGTGCTCTCAAACTACCATGCAGCTACAGAGATTTGTACAGATTGGCACAGCCAGTGTATGAAAGTACCCCTTCAAGATTTCTATTTGCTGACCTCGGCTGTTGCAAGCACCTTTTCTAAACCTATGTGGCACCCCAGACAGCATGGAGACTACACACAGCACAGAAGTCTCTTTGCTCCACACCAACACCTCACCCTAGGTAAATGAACTTCTAGGATAAAAGACTAGAGAAGTGTATTTACATTTTCTTTTTCCATTTCCTCTCCCCTCTCCCCCCCTCCTCCCTCCTTCTAATTCAATTCATTTTCTGCCTCAGTGGCAGAGCCATGACTGAGCACTAAGGCACTTGAGTATGTGCTTCCTGTGGATCTGATCTACTATACGTGCACACCAGAATAAATATGCAAGCCACCACCTTTTGGTGATAGAACTAAAACTATCCCCTGAACGAAGTAAATACCAATCTGTGGTCTTCTGTAATACCCAGAGAAGAATAAGGACTACGATACACTTACATGTCTTCAATGCAGTTAAGTGACATGCTGCTCTGAAGTAGCTAAGCATATGCATTTATGGCACAGCAGCAACACAGTTCTATCCTTGCTCCACAGAGAAGCTCACATAGCAGTCCGTGGAATTTCCTGAACAAATGCAGACTGTGAATTGAGCACTGCTATCTGTTAATTTACAGGCAATGAGACATGAACAGACAGTGGGCTCTCAAAACTTCAGAATCAAATTCTCCCTGCATGGGAGTCATTTCCACCAGCTCTGGAAAAAGCTTGGGAGTGTGTATAAACTCAGCAACACACAGCCAAGGTTATACAACACAGTCCAATGCTGGACTAATGGCAGAAGGTAAACTCATCCCTATTTCAAAAAGCCCATCTGACAATGCAAGCTAATTGCAGAGCTTCATGAAACATCTGAAAGCCTAATACTGTTTCTAAGAAAGCTAGAAGACAAACAATGAGGAGATACCACTCCTAAAATGATGTGGTGTGCTCTGAGGTTGACCTATCACTTCCCGCTTAGAAACTGCATCAGATATTAACACACTTAGCCACCCTTGGTTAACACAGCTAAAGAGGCTGACTCATGTAAACACAAATGGGAGAGACAAAATAGTTCACAAAATCTGTAGTTACAACAGAGGTTTCCCATCAGGAAAATGTTGCATCTTTTGAGATCAGAAAATTCTGGAATTATATCAGGACATACAGAGACAGGTCACTAACTAAATGGCAGAATTAGATGTGCACACAAAGCAAGCAGTCTGTTGTGTCTCGCACTTCTGAAAGCTCTTGAATGAGCTGTAAGGGCAGCCCTGGATGGAGAACACTGCTGCAGTACAAATAAAGCATGAATACCTGCAGCTTAGGTCTGCATTTGTGAGAAAGGTTCACAACCTTCAAGTCAAATGTAAATGGAGAACCAAGGAGGGCCATCTTTGCTGCACAGCAACTACTAAATGTATCATGATAACATGACCTGGATTTTGGAAGTGATCTGTGTAGCACATAAAGGACAGACACATGTCTTTCTCAAATTGCTTTTTGTAATATAACCCAGTGTAGTTCTTCTAGGAACTTTCAAGCAGCTATTTACAATTCAAAGCATTGATCTATTGCAGTCATATGGTGACTGCAACATTTAGCTCCATGGGTTATTACAGAGCCACTGCTTTTCTGTTTGTTTGTTTTTTCCTTTTTTTTTTTTTTTAAACTGAAGGGCATTAGTATCTAGGACAACAGTCAACCCATGTGTGATTAGGCAAAAAGTTGCTCAAATTAATCTGCTGTTATGAACAACAGAAAATAAAAACACTATCCCCACTTAACAAGGTTCAACAATATCACATCAGAACCTATAATTTGAATTAAAACAGCTCCTCTGTAAAATGATACATAACACACCTTCCTGGCAAGAGCAGAAGGCTCAGAACAATGCAGAAAAAGTGAAATGTATTTACTGAAACAATCAAGACACTGTACTTACTTGCTTTTTCTTGTAGAATCCCTTCTTGTCACAATTTGGAATATGGAAACCTCTAGGACTCAAGACATTCAGGATCTTCAGGTGGTTTAAAGTGTCCTCCATTTCTCTACGACAGGGACCCTGTCAACGAGCATGTTTTAGAAAACACAGATGAAACTTTATTCCCAAATGCTGTCTTTCACACAAGACTTAAAACCTCAAAGGATTAAGATGTGTTAAACCAAACAAATTCATTAAAACAAAGGAAATGCCAAAAAGCAAACCATTCACAGATAAAAGTTCTGACACTATGCTTTATTCAGGATAAAGCATAGTTACTAATTTCTGATATCCTCTGAACACTGAAGGCCACATAACACGCTCACACACAGTGGCATTTCCAGCTGAAATCACACCCACATATATATGTAAAAGACAGCTTGTATGTCAGTCAGTCATATGTAACACAACTTAAGTCAGGAAACAACAGATCTTCATCAAGCAGGAAAAGAACATAAGCAATTGGAAATACGACACTTGGCAAATCTTCCCTAGTGCCACTTGATTTCTGTAATTCTTCTGGATTTAAAGGATTGAATAAAACATACTAAATTGAAAGTAAGTAGTTTGGCATGCTATACACGTGTTTATAAATATACTGCAACTTTGGATAACAACTCCAAATTTCAGCTGAACCAAACGGATGCAATCATGCAAATAAATGTGGTCATACAAATGAATGGTTGCACATGACATTTTCATCATGTAAGTACGTAACTTTTTGCACTAGTTTATCCGTAAAACAAAGACAATAACATAGTGTGGATTAGCTCTATGGCAATGAGATAAGAACTTCCAGAATCGTTTCTTAAAACATGTCTCAAACGTCAACCGAAGCCCAAAATAGAGTGTAAAGTGTTACCAGCCCCATTTTGCATTCAGAAAACTAGGAAAAGAAGAGTTAAAATTTTACTAGGAAAGCAGTCAGCATTAGCAGCAGGAAGAGAATTCAAGAATCATATCCCGCATACTCTTTAGCCACACTCCTCCCTGAGCACATTACTGACTTAGTCCACCAACCTGATTCTTCAGTGGAGACCAAGAATTCTTAACACAAATTACATACGTTTAAGTTGCTGTATCAACACAAAGACCCATTGGTGACGTTATTAATTAGTGGAGTAATGACATTTATATTTTCAAGTAGAAATGTCACAAGTTCACCCATAAGTGCCTTTCGTATGTCTGAAAATGTATAGACTCCACTGTTCTGCTGCAGTTTAAAACTGTTTTTTTATTGTAACAAAGTCTTCCTTTCTGCTTTCTTTCAGTATCAATCCTCGTAAGTTCTAGACAAGCGATTTAAATTACTGCTTTTATTGGCAGCAAGCAAAAATATTCAGACACAGTGACTGCAGATCACACACTGAATGATTAGGGATTGAGTTGAGCCTACACAATGAGCAACAGCTTTTTTTAACCATTACTTTGAAGCAGGCCTCACAAGTCAAAGAAATGAATATCAAAAGCTAGCACATAGACTTAGGTAGAAAGTCATTTACTTGCTGAAGTACCTGACTCAGATGGACCTAGTTCTGGTCCCTGAAGATATGAGTAGCTTTGCTAAGTCACACAGAGACCACCCACCAGCTAAGTAAAACATTTATCCTACATAAAGATGAATTAGTTAGGGTCCTAGTAGGGTCCTATTTCCTCAAAGATAAAAAAAAGCTCACTCTTACTAGAAGAGGTTTACTATTTCAAATTTTTGGGAAGAGGACATACTAAAACCTGGATATATAAGTGCTTTTACTGGATAGTTTGTCATCAGCAACAAAACCAACACAGTTTAAACAGCCCTCCTGTGTTATCTTGGGAGGCCACAATCTTCAGACAAAATGTTCCAAAGGTTTCAAAATCTCCTGCAGGTGTGAAGCTATGTGTGGTTTCAACACAACTGTTTTGTTGAGATGTCAAGGTATATCAATTCATACTTTTAAGCTGTGTGGCACAGGTTTGAGGATACGAAGCTAGCAGCCAAAAGTCTTTGAATTCTAATTAATGCCCCTTCAGACTCACAATACTCTGGCTGTCCATTCTCTTTGGGTATATTCCTTACCTCTGTGCCATTATGTGCATGTATTGGCACTAAATGATAACTGCAAGTGGAGGTGGTGTTCAACATGACACGCAGTGAATGCCTGTTCACTCAAGACCCCAATCCAGGCACATCCAATTCACTGCCCACAAGCTGCACACAGCTCAGCACTGCTCACAGTGCAGCCCACATTCCCTGCTACTACACCATCATGGCAGCAGCTCTGCCCCATGCAGCCCCAGGACACAAGGAGGGCACAGTGCAGTGCTGACAAATAATATGGCACTACACTTGATTTGCATGGAAATGATGTCAGTCTTCAAAGATTAAAATTTAAAAAGACACTGAATGCAGAAACACACTGCCAAATTCAACGCATATCAAGGAATCGTAGAATGTTTTGGGTTGGAAGGAATCTTTAAAGGATCATCTATTTTCAACCCTCCTGCTATAGGCAGGGACACCTCCCACTAGTCCAGGTCCTCAAAACCCCATCCAGCCCAGCCTTTAATGCCTCCAGGGTGCCCATAACCTCTCTGGGCAACTGTTCCATGGTCTCACCATCCTCACAGTAAATAATTTCTTCTTACTAGCTAGTCTAAATGTACCCTTTCAGTTTAAAACCATTATCCCTCATTCTGCTGCTACATTTGCTTGTAAGGAGTCCCTGCCCAGCCTTCCTGCAGGCCCCCTGCAGGTACTGGAAGACCACAACGAGGTCCCTGCAGAGCCTTCTCTTCTCCAGGCTGGAACATCCCAGTTCTTTCACCTGTCCCCCTATGGGAGGTCCTCCAATCATCTGATTATTGAATGCTTCATAAAGAAAAAAAAAGCAGAACTGAAAAAAGTGTCATTTCAGTAAAAGTTTTTTAAAGAAGTTAAAACACAAATGGACTCCACTATAAAAACTAGTTACATGATAGCAAATCTGTCTGCAAAAAAAAAAAAAACAAAAAAAAAAAACACAAAAAAAACCCTATTTCCTGATGGTGAGTTTGTTAAGCAATATAGGGATATTATACATACATAAAAACAGATTTTTCTAAAATCAGTTTGTCTTATCAGACAAAGTAGCCAAGTGAACTGAAGAAAAAGGAACTACCTACTGAAAGAAATTTGGATAGTAAAGCTGCTTTTCAAATTTTATGCTTTGGCAACATAGGAAACTACTGATGCTACAGACATGGCTCAACTTGCCATTTTCATTACAGGTACTGAGAGCAAATGTAATGTCACTGAAGAAATAGTTTCTTTGGCGCCACCGGAAGACACAACAAAGTCTCCTGGTTTATATGAAGCAGTAAAAAAAAAAAAAAAAAAGTACATTAAAGCCATTTTCCTTGACTTTTGTCAGCATCACTGGTATAGCATCAAATGATACCCCATGAAGGTTGGTAAAAAAGAGGGGCTTATAAAAATAATTACTGCATTTGATGAACTCTCACTGCATCAGGCATCAAGAAAATTTATGTGCAAAAGATGTAAAACAGATAGCACCATGCAAATTTTCATCAAACCTGTGAACTTCATAAAGTCTAAGGGACCGAAGCACTGCC